TCAAGTTCTTACGAAAAAAAATTCTATCAACAGGAAGGAAATTGAAGATGGTCGCAAGATCATCGAGGTTATAGCCAGATTTTCCGACACATTTTAAAATGTCTTCATTTGATTTGCTTGTTTCGATAACACTCGAGATGCTTTTATCCGTATACTCATTTTAATTGTTGGAAAGATTCTTCTCAGTCATTTTTTCAAGGGAATGCATACTCTTGCTTGAGCTATTTTTTTGTACAACTATTTTATGTAATATTAACAACAAGGAATATATCGACAAACTCTAAATTAATCATTCAAGTGTTGGGTGACGTAAAAAGATAATCAACGATAAAAAAACTCATTATTCTTGATGTCCGTCCACAATTACGACCCTTTTGTGAGCACTATGTAAGTTCGAGTGACACTTACCAGATAAAGTTGTTTTTTTAGTCGACGATGATTTTAAATCGGAATGATTGAATATAATAGGTATCGTGATGACTGTAGTCACGATACATCCGACAACAAAACTTCCCAAAATGATTAGTAGGATTTTTTTGGTCAAGAAGCGTCGACTTAAATGAAAGGATCATACATTCAAATTCAATATTAAGAATAGTTTGATACTTACATTTGACCCATTGTTGACAATGTTGGCGTGGCATTCATCGTGTCTTGATCTTCGTGTGATGGATGTACAACGGCCTTTATATTAAATATGATTAGAAACATCAACATTTACTATAACACGAAGTATGCAACTCTTCTCATCAAAAGATCACTCGCATCTACTATGTACTGATTTGCAGCACATGAAAATAGGATAATTGAAATAGTTCATAATCAATACATCAGAGCAATTTGTGTATCCATCTCTTTAGAAAATTTTGAGCAAATAATTTTTCTTCAGATGAAAAAAAGAAGAATTTAATGGAGTCTATAATATTGAATACTATCGAACCGTCAGTCGAAAACTGGCCGATGATTGAATAAAATGTGTTCGAGTAGCTTATTGCAGTATTTCTGATATTTACTTACAGACATGATACGACTGATTGTTGATATTGGATAAGTAGAACTTCGAAATGAACAGAAAGAAATTAGATACTTTTACTCAGATCTACACAAAGAAAAATGCATTATGCTAACGTGTAATTATAGTAACAAACCTTGACCAAAGTAGTGTATTCGTTGGAAAAAATTGACGTTTGTGATAGAAAATGATGTATGATTTTATTCAGTTTTATTTATTATCATGCTCTTTTATCTTCTGACGTAGTATATAAAAGAAAAATAGAGTGCGGATGTGTATAAAGCACGGAAGTAAATGTATGATAAGCAAATGAAAAATGGAAGCATGACATAGAACACAAAATGAAAGGAAGCTAGTGGGTGAATGCAAAATATTATCAATGAAAAAGAAGTAGATGGTATCGCTTCCAATATTATCTTCTCTCTAGCTTAGAAAACGTCAATTAAGTTTTCCGAAAACATTGTTATGTAGATTTTTTTATATCTGCATTATATCATATTGTGTCAAAGAAAAAGAGAACTATTTTTTTACTATGTGAGCTATCAAACTCATGAAAGTGACGTAAATTAATGGTAAATTTGAAATCATTAAGTGGAATAAATGAAATTAAATTGTATCGCAACAATGGCATTAGTTTTCATATGTTAGTAACTGATTTAGTCAGTTGACTTCATGTTTCTACAAGAAAAATAATTCTGTGCTGAAGCCAGTTCTGATACCACGAATTGATCAATGGCTAATTACTCTTTATTGTCCGTTGAATATATGAGAACTTGCATCTTTGTTAGACATCATTCACATATGATTGAAAAGACATATTTGTATTAGATCACTATGATTCTATCTTTGATTGTTAGAAGAAATTCTTTCCACGAATCAGTATATATTTCGATCACTTCATAAAAATTGTGTTCTTTTTTGTGCTCCACAGAAGAATGTTATAAAGATATGTTGATTTGAACAATACCGATATCATACCATATGGCAGTGATTTTATATCATGTTTTCATTTAAAATATAGAAAAAAAATGTTTTGCGCATTTCCGATCCGTTTGTTTTTCTATCCAACATATTTACTTCCTTTCCTGATTTTTATTTTATAGTCAATATCAAAATGTTTATGACGTAGGTGTTCATATTTTCTATCTATAGTGGAAGAAAAAAGGGTATTAAACGACGGATAAAAGCCTCAGTAGTCATATACCTACATTGATTTTGAAAACAGTAAGTTATCGATGATTCTTTGAACGCATAGTGTTTGTGTCGGTATTGGATATAAGTAAAACTAAGTTCATTTGTGATAAAAAGCAAGATGTTGGAAAAGAATCCCAATTTTTAAGGATAGTTTTAGAGGTATCAGTAAAATGATTGTAAGCGGAGGACCACCCAAAGTGATTAAAAGCTTTTTAGCTGACATTTGGCCCATGAGCAGAATGTGATGAGACTAGATAAAGCTTAGAAGTTTAAGGTCCCATAGATCTTTGTTCGCGACTTAGAGCTATTGTTAGTACGCTTTTCATGTATGGCAACAGGTTCACCGAAAAGTAGATACTAGAATTTTGATCTGAAATTTTACCCATATGCATGTCTTATGACACTTGTAGTATCTTAAAAGTTTCAACTAAAACGAACGTTGGTGTAACGAAATATCTAGCTGTCAAGCAAAGCCGATCATGCTGCAGTTATGGGAAGAAAATCGGCTTTCCGTGGGTACTTATTATTTCGTGACAAAACCTTCGTTTGAGCTGAAACTTTTAGAATACTATAAGGATTTTAAGACATGCATGTGGGTGGAGTTTCATATCGCAACTCTACAGTTTACATTTCCAGTGAACCTTTTGTAATAGGTGAAAAGCGTGCTTAAATGAACATAAGTAGGGATGTACCGAGCGTGAGTCCTGACCAATACTTTTGGGCTCGGGCTCGCTCAGGACTCCGGCGTGAGGATGGGTGTGGATCAGTGTGGCTATGATGAGTGCGGGTACTACCCTTTTCACTCACACTCTCACCCACACCCATCCTCACACCCGAACCCTGACCGAACCCACGACTAACCGAGCTCGAGAAGTTTGGGCTCGATACGTCCCTAACTATTAGTCGCGAAAAAAGATCTATGGGCCCTTATGCTTCTAGGCTTTATCTAGTCTCATGGGCAAAATATCAGACTTATCGTATTTTTTTCTTCCTACCGAATGATCTTTTTCTAAGCGAAACTGGATAACAAAAGTATGAATGCATTATTTTCAACGACTTTTTTGTGAAATATAATAATTTCCACAAATGAACTTCTACATAAAATGTATAATACACCGCAGAATCTTCATTCATTAACATTCATTTGCAAGTACATAATTTTTTTCTATCTATCTACTTGATTTTCTAGGTGGGTTAGGTATTCGTTTTAGAAAGCACAAAAAAAAGTCAAGCAATCGCTTCTACTTCAGGTGACAGTGCAATAATGTGGCTTTTTCAATGGTTAACCAAGCTCAATCTATTCGAAACGGACGCCACAGATGATCAAAGCTTACGGATTCAACGTTGGTCTACTCGTGTTTATATTATTGCTCTCTCAGTTACTTTATGCGTTGCCAGTATCTATGCCTTAGTCGAAGGTACTCCTCAGGATATCGAAATACAAAATCCTACTCTTAGTCTGTACAATAAATTGCAAAACAAATATAAGCCAAAATGTCCTTGTTCAAATGTGGCTGTTTCTTACGAGCAATTTGTTGAATTAACGCCTCGCTATCATCAAGTTTGTTCAAGTGATTTTGTCACACAGCGATGGATCGATCATTTATACGATCCTGCGACAACACCTTTCTATTTTCCCCAAGATTTTCGTGCGACTGCTTATCTACAATTTCAACTCCTTCGTATTCTCTGTCAAATAAGCGTTGAAATAGTTAACGACACTCTTGCTTCATTTAAGAATACGAAACTTATCACTGTTCAACTCATGAGGGAAACGCTTTTCGAAACTCAAATGCAGGCGGCTATCGATGCCTTCAAAACAAATGCTCCCAACAAATTTAAACGCACATTCATGTTTGTTCACAAGCTCTTCAACAGCAATAATCTTCTATCAGTAACCCGAACTTTTTCCTCTTTTCAACTCAAACGCCATGACGGATTTTGGGCGTCTGCTATCGGTCAGGATTGTATGTACAATATGAACATTTACTGTTGTTATTGTTCTGCGGTGCCATACTGCAAAGCACATGCAGGCTTTTTCGGCGCTAACCTTGAAACCATAAATGATCCCGACAACGTGTATGCGTATCTAGATATCGTGGATGGATGGTATATCGGGTGTTTTCCTATTGATTCACTTCGCTATTCGACACTCAAAAGCTTTTACAGTCAAACAGCGATCGATTCATTGTCACTTTTCTTCAGAAACTCGACAGGCAATTTTACATGTCTGAATGTTAATCATCCGACCATCTTTCCTCTAGAAGACGAACATACCACTATTGAAAAACTTATCAACGCGAGTTTTATCGAAGAATGGAACAACAGCACAAGTTACGAATCGTATTTTAACATGTGTGCACCGATATCATGTGCTTATAAAACCAAAGAGCGTATTTTGCACGGCATCAGCACTGTGCTCGGACTTTATGGCGGACTTTCGGTTATTCTTCGTTTTTTTATTCCGATGATAATCAAGTTAGTGATTGGGTGTAGACAGAATGCATCTACGACAGTAGACACATCGAACTGGCTGCGAATACTGAAACGCACTCTGCTTGAATTAAATCTTTTTAAATCATCGATGCATCTTGAGCCTCGTGATATCTATGAACAACGATGGTCAACCCGATTTTACGTTCTATTCCTTGCATTGGCTCTCCTAATTCTCCTATTGTATAATGCGATGAATGTACAGCTAAGATCAATGAAGGAGAACAAACCTTTGATAAACACTATATTATACTTACAAAAAAAAGCTTCTATATCATCCCTTCAATGTCCATGTTCACAGATGTCAACACCACTAAAGAATTTCGTCAAGTTCAACACAACGTATCATGAAGTATGTTCAGATAAATTTGATTTAGACAATTTATATAAATGGCTTACACCGTATGGTTATACTGGTGGTTATATCATTGAAAATATCAGGCATGGTGGGCCTATGTTCAAAGCTCTCAAATCATTTTGCGAACTATCGGAAGAAACAGTCAACAATGCAATCGATGAATTCAACGAAACACAATTAGTCACTGAAAATCTTTTGACGCATGATATTTTCACGTCTCGTATTAAATCGAGTCTATCAGATTTTAAATCTATGACACCCATGCAGTTTCTTGATCTCCTCATGCTTATTAAGGACACAACATGGGCTAATCAATTTATTACTATATTCCGGACAAATTATCAACTTATTGTTCGAAATGACACGGGTCATGTCCGAGTAAATTCGATGATCATTGACAAAATTTTGCATGCTTACAACCGGTCTTGTTCAAGTTTCAATAACCGAGAGTGTAAAACACAGTACACCATAGAAAACACCTTGATTTCTTCTTGTCTAGGATCATATCAGACAGTGGATGGTTTCTATGCATCCTTCTATCCTGTTGAGTCTTTACTACTATCGCGAGTACAATCTTTGTATAATGCGTCGTTTATGCACCTGCTTGGGAAACACAGCTGCATCACTGGGAACTATAATCACAACTACAGCGTACTGTCACAATCAACTAAATTTTCAGTTAATTCAACGTTTGACTTGCTTGTCAAAGAATTGTTTATCGAATCATGGAGAGACACATTCAATTATACGCTCTATTTCGAACAATGCAAACCAGATTCATGCTCGTACGAGGTCAGAAAAAGACTTGAGCTGCTCTCGGCGATTTGGATTGTAATCAGTTTATTCAGTGGTTTATCTGCTCTATTCCGATTTGTGACACCATTGATTGTGGTATTCGTTCTCACTCGTTGTCGCAGACAAGCACAACAAGAAGAGCCTTCAGAAGACATCCAACGAACAGGTAAGAAATATCCAAAAAACATAATAGTTACAGATCAATCACGTTGCTGAAAAATCCGCATGTGTTACGAATAGTGAGCAAGCTAAAGAAAGCATTTTAAATACATGTACAAGTAGGGTTCTTTCAGATTTTCCAATAATTAAATTTGAAGAATATGAATCAAATCGAACAATATCAGGGCAGGACATAGATACTTTAAATAGTGATCAGAGCAACTGAAATTCGGAGGTCGTTCAGTAGTTTTATATTGCTCCTGTATCTTCGATTATTTATGAAATCTTCTTGAAAATAAAAGCTTTGTAGTTCGCTTTAAAACATTATTTACAGCTTCAAAAAGAGTTGCAGAGAAATCTCACTTATAAACTTAACTCTAATGATGTGTGCACTAATATAGGTGGTTCCCGTATTAAAAACCTGATCATGAAGCTGAAGAATAAGCTGAGTACGATTATGGTCACACTTAACATATTCGAAAATGTTGACAAGCCACATCCACCTGAAGAAGAACTACGAACTCAACGACGAATGACACGTGTCTATTTATTCATCGTTATTTTAGCAATCGGTATTATTACGTGGATTACTGCACTCACCTATCAAACAAAGACAATCTCTATGAACGAACCGACATTTGACGTCTACCAAAGTTTAGAACAGTTAGCCGATTGTCCATGCGCGAATGTATCTATTCCCTATCATACATTTATTGGCTTGAAAATGTCATTTCATGAAGTTTGCTCAAGTGATTTTACCGATTTGCATAGTGATTGGATGGCAATGCTCTACTCTTCCTTTTTGCATGAAATCAAGTCTGAAGATAACGTACCTACTTTTCAACGTATGGCTCTCTCACACTTTCAAGCTTTACAAGCCATCTGTGAGACAAGCATGCACAGTGCTAAAACTGAGCTCTCTCTTTTCTTGAATTCGACTTTCTACTCTACTAGTATGATCGGATCCGATGTATTTCAGAAACAAATAGATGCTACACTTTTCAATTTTAAGTCAAATTCATTATCATCAAACTATAATCATTCACTTGAATTGATTCGTAGTATGTATTCGAGCAATGCATTTATTTCAGCATTTGGTACCAATTGGTCTCCAGTACTTCGAGAGGTGGAGGAAAACGCGAAAATCTACATGCAAGCTCAAAAGTACAATATGTCATCGTGTAGCTGCGCAACGTCTACAACATGCGTAGAAACAATGAAATTGAGACTCGAGTCGAGATCACCATGGGTAGTGCCGGGAATGTTATCTGGTTGTCTGCCATTAGATTCGATGCTTGAATCTACTTTAGAATGTTTATACGATCAAGCTTGTATTGATATGATAAGTGATGCACTTAATTCCACTATACGTTATACTCCACTCATTGCCGATCATACTCGTTTTCATCCAATCAGTATCATGAAACTTGACAATATTACAAAACAATTTTTCATTGAGAAGTGGTCGGAAAGTGTTTCTTTTGAGGCATATTTCAATGCTTGTCACACAGAAAAATGTTCATATACAATTTCCAAACGTTTCAATATTGGATATATCTCATCTACAGTTATCGCTTTTTATGGTGGTCTTAGTGTTGGGCTTAAGCTTACTATTCCTCTTGTCTTCAAAATTGTTAAAAAGTGTCTCTCAAACCGAAACAGTCGACGAGTGATCTCTATCAACACTTCTTAATATGTAAACAGTTAAAAAAATAATGTTTTTCTCGGCTTTTAATGTAGTGATGTTTAATAAATGTACTGAATTGTATAAGACTCTTTGTTCATCGTAAGACATGTGCTTTCTTTTTAATTAAAAAAAATATATAAGATTCGTACAATTGTGGTATTATATATTGAACTATATAACTGCCCATATTATTCATTTCAGTTGTCGAAAACGGCGTTTTAGTGCCTTAGTTTTGGTCGTATTTCTCCTTGCCTCTATACATTTCTGGACTAACAAATTATGGCGACGTTTTGGTAATGTTTAAAAGCGTTATCTTTATCCTTGCCAACTACCTTCGACAAATATCGCTCTTGTCAAAATAAGCAAAAGTACATAATAAAATAGTTTTCCTAAATTAATTCTCTATCTTTTTATTCAAGAAACTTTGTATTTTCTATTAAGAGTGCTGATTTTGAGTTTTTTTTTAAGATTAATAAAATCATGTTTTCTCTGAAGCAGTTTGCTTTAACATCGTACCTACTTGATTTTGACGTCATGATCATCAAATATCATTACGGCGCATGACAATTGACATCTGCCAATATTTTGCTCGCATAGCAGCTTAGAAAAAGGAAGTGTGTTTATTATTTTTATTTATCATGCATTTCAACTGTTGTGTTTGCTGCAAATGTATTATGTTAGGTTGACGTCATTCTGTAGGCGAAAAAATACAATTGTTATTTCCATGATTTTTAGTTTTCTGTAACATATCACATAGTTCTTATATCACTAATTTAATGATTTTCTAGTTATATTTGAGAATGTGTGAATGGGTGTGAGTATTCTTTTATCCGTGACTCACACCCTCAAGAAAGCCAAAAAAAGACGTTTTTTAATGATTTAGTCACCTTCTTTTACCCGAGATCATTAAATGATCAATTGATGACTTTCTTTAGAAATATGTTTACAGGCACCGATAAATTTCTTGTACTGATGAATTTATGTCATGTCTGCTATTTCATTCTTTTCGAATACCATTTAGTATATTTAAGTAGTTATACTGACAGAAATTTTATAAACTCAAATTTAAGACTTACAAAAAAAACCAATCTATTTTTGTTTCTAAATATAATCAAAATTATCCGAAACTCTTTGTTTTATTTGCGTTGTATTTTTTTTAAATATAACACAAAAAAAAAGATTTCTAAAATTGTCTCGTTATATATTAAATTCAACTGTTAAAGAAATAACAAAAAACAAAATATAAGATTATGTATGTATTTTAGCCAAGTTCTGTTGAGTAACAGTTTTGTTTTTAAAATTCGAATGTTTCTATAAAGTATGTTGTGGAAAATGACGTATTGTTAATTTATGTTGAGGTTTTGATGATATTTGCTTGTCAGGTATTGATATTGAATGGATACTGAGAAACTGTTGACGAAGAACCGAATCGAGAAGAAAAGAGCGAATCAAATAAATACGAATAATTGAAAAACTACTCCATATGAGACAAGCAGAGACACATAGACTTGCTAGAGTAATAAGAACAATACTACTGATAGATAATTGTTCTGATTGTTGAGCAATTGTAACTGGATTCGTTAATGTGACTGTCGTTGTTACTATCGTAGTAGTAGAGATAGTTACTGAAGTAGTTGAACTTGATGTTTCTAATGTTTGTCGTGTTGGTATCTTTGAATGAAAATAAAGTCTTATATTATTAGGAATAAAAGTTCATAGAAAATCGATTTCTATATCTCTCTCGAAAATATTTACTGTTCGCATTGTTGTTGTCAATGATACAGATGTTGTTGATGTTGTTGCTAAAAATAACAATATATATATATATATATATTATTAAAATATAAGTGATCTAATTACTTGTACTAGTTATTGTCGATTCATATGGTATATTGAATGGCCAAAAGTTCGGATCAGTTATAGGCATTGCTACTTTCGTACATGAACCAGTAGCTCCTTCTTCATCTAATACACCAGGATCGAAATAAATATAAAATTGTTCACCTGGAGTCCATATAACCGCTGTATTTATTACTATACTATTCGTTAAATAAAGAACATTATCAGTGGAGGTGACAACATTTAATATATAATAATCAGTATTATCTGATGCTTGTTTGAATCGAATATAGGTTTCAGTTGTTGGTCGTTGATAAGTTATTGATTCAGTAAGAATAGTCCATACTGATGTTGTCTTTGAAACTGTTCCTGTTGGATAATGAGTTGCATTCGATGTGTACAAAGGTTGAAGACTGGATATTTGTGAGAAGACAGTAAAACGAAGACAAACTGAATCTCCTTGATTACCAATAGAATCAACACCAGAAAAACAATAGAGATTTTGTCCTATTTGATTAGCACTGGATGTAAAACTAGCTAGAAATACAAAAATAGTAGAATCAGATGGATCTTGTTGAAGAGCTGTGGTTGATAGACCAATTAGATTAACGCTAATAATACTAGCAACAGTAGCATTCGTACATTGAACTTGGAAACGAACACGTGTAATATAAGTATCACCTACTCCCATATATATACATATATCAGGCACGAGATCACCTATATAAATAGGTCCAGTAACACAAGGATCCGTCGAATTGTAAACATGAAATACGAATTGAATAGGTACTTGTGAGAGATAAGCAGTAGATGATATATTACTCGGTAGTATTATGAAATCTTCAGCGGTGATGGCTGCCGCATAGTAACCGATTATTTGTGGTGTAAAATTCAAATAACATCCATAGTTATCAATAATACCACCTGGTACACTGTTACTCAATCCACCACATTGTTTACTACCAGTAGACCATAAACAAATGTATGGATCAAAATCATTATCAGCTACATTGATTTTAAGTGAATAACTAATTTTATTTCTTAATCGATAGATTGGTAACATTGTAATAATGGGTGCATGATTATATTGTCCATTATCGATTCGTTTAAAAGTCTGAATTTGAACAGCAACACTCCATACTAAATTAGTTCCTGTTACAAGATCGAACCACGCTGAATTAGTAAATACTGCTATAAAACTAGAACTGTGTGGCACTGAAATTTGAAAACGTCCTTCACCCATTGCATATTGTTCGCCAATATTGTAACCTGTGCAAGGAACTTGAATATTTCCAAATGTTGATAAACCTGATGGACAAGTACTAACACAACTATAACTACCTGAACCTAAAAGAGGCTGTCCATTTGGAATAGTTGCATCTGTACAATATGGAGTGAAGTAAGTATATCGCCAAGCATGTCGTTGAAAAATTTCAACAGAAACAGACGAAGATGAATCATTGACTATTCGCCAAGATATCATGGAACCACGATAGTGACTTGCTTGAATAATATGAGATAGATAAAGTATAGAGAAGAAGATCAAATACATGTCTTTTGTAAGAAAAAAATATATAAATGAAGAATAATACAATCAGAGATTATTGTATGGGCGTATTTCAATTTCGAAAAAGTACATTATACTTTATTTACGAACAATAAGATCAATTAATTGTAAATATATATATATATATATGTAGGATTTCAACGTGAAGTTCTACATTATTAAAATCGCAAAATAAATTACGTTGAAAAAAAAGAAGTAGATTAAACTTGGATCATTGTATAGTTTTCTTTTTAGTTTCAAAAAAAATGATGATATAGATCTATTCTTTACGATTGATCAGTTATGGTTTGAATCGATATAGAAAATATTTATCAACATAGACAAAATAAGCTTCACGAGATGTACTATTGATTGGCTTCGAAAAAGTATAGAGAATAATACATAAATTTACATACAATCGTATGTTTATTTAACTTCAATTGTGAAATAAAATATCAAATGGCTTCATTTTTATTCATAATCTTACATTGACAATATTATATTTCGGCTTATTAAGATAAACACTGACCTTACTGATATGAAAATATGTAATATACTTAATTACATGCAAGAATATCGTGTAACCTACTTGTGAAGCAAAAAAAAAGAAAGTATTGAATAAATGACAGAAAAAAATCAAGGTTTTGTATTCATTTTTATTTGACATTCTGTCATGATACTTAGATAATAATACTATAAAGTAGATTCAAAGTAAGAATTAATATATTTATGGTGAATCAAAAATTATTCTTGTCTTTCTGACAATATTTGGCACTATGTTTGATTTGATTCATGTGTCGAGTGTATATGAAGGGCAACTGTGCATTAACTTCTTTCTGCAAAGGGACAATTGTCGTCATCGATAAGTCAATATCATAAGAAAGAGAGCGAGAGAGAGAAGATTGTATATGTATATAATCATAAACGTTATTTCTTTCGTCAAGGGAATCTTCTTATATATGTGGCAATAGATAGATAATAGATCAGTACCACTGATGTCAACAATCAGAGTTAGAAGAAAGAGACGTACGCGTAAGAGAAAAGGAAGAACTAAAGGACAAAACATCTCATCTCGTTTAGTTATTGCTGATATTACTCTCTGAAGGTGATAGTAATATAACATACAGAATGAAGAACTACTACTACTAACGGACTGAATGTTGTCTTCTCATCAATCTAACTAAGTTCTCACTGATACCACATCCCTAAACAACAATAGAATAACAAGGAGAAGACAAAAAAAAACGTCCAACGATAATACAACTGTTATTTATAGTTAATCTACTGGTGCGTTATTAGTTACCTTAACCATTACTATAAATATAAATATATATTACAACATAAATATAGATTTTAATCTTTTATTTTAGCTAGAACATTGAATATAATGACTAGTATTCGTAATGCACCAGTCGATATTGCATCAAATCGTATTTTACAATATTTACGAACACATAATTATGATGATTGTGCAATTTATATTAATCGTCTTAATTCAAATACATTCCGTAAAATTTTAACAACTGATTTATCATTCGATGCATTATTAGCTCAATTACCATTTTCAATTGAAATCTTTGAAGTAATCTATTCAAAAATATTCATCATTGATCCAGATACA